CCCGACCCACCGGGGACCCGGTCAGCGCGCGTGCTCCCCTGGGCTCTGGCTGTGGAGGCCCCCCCACACCCGGGCGGGGTGCGAGGCCGCCCCGCCGATCAGATCTTGAGGCCCAGGAGGAGCAGGGCCCGCGCGCTCGGCTCCCTCTGCTCTTCCTTCTGCCTCGTCCTCGCAGAGGCTCAGGAGGGGTTCCTGGAAGGCGGATTTGGGGGAGAAGGGTCTCCCTGCGCTCTCCGTGGTCCGTGCCAATCCTGGCCGTGAGGGGAGCCCACCCCAGACGCCGTGCCCACTCAGAGCACGAGGCCCCCCCAGACGGGGGACCAGGCAGGAGGCGTTTGCTGCCTGGGACCCAGATGCTCGCTCCCTAATTACTCTGGTTCATGGGATTCCTCTGGGTGACCGGGAGACATTTGGGGGATCCCTAATTTATGGCACAGTATTAACTAGGGCAAAAGTGACATGTTCAAAATTTATAAATTTCAAACGTTCACCTCAAACCTTTTGTAGTGAGAACAGCTAGCTCTCTGTGCCGGCCACTCCTTGTGGCCCGACGGTCAGGAGACGGAGGAGCATCGGGTGGTGGGCGGTGGGTGGGGGGTGAGGGGTGAGGGAGGACGGCTGGGACTCGGTCCAGCAGCCCCTCTGTGCGCACCTGGGCATCTGACGTCATGGAGAGGAGCCCCAGCTCCTCCTGCCTTGCTCTAGGCTTCAGTCCTCGCTGGGGCTTCTGTGACCTGCACAGCTCCGAGCCCCATCCCTTCCTGGGCACTGCCAGGAAGTGACTGACCCTCTGATAACCCAGCTGAAACCCTCGCCTCTAACACGTGAATACCACCATGCTGGGCCCCTTCTGTGTTCTGATGGAAGGAGAGAACTGGGACCAAAAGAGAGGCCAGTGGTTCCCCTGGCATCCTCACAGCAATGCCAAGGCAAGATCAAGGCTGGGTCCAACAGGCTTCAGAGCACTATGCCTGACCTGGGCAAGTGAGCTCTTCTGGCACCTTGGTGGGCACATCTGTGAAAGGCAGCTAGTGCACCGTGTGCTATGACAACATGAAGGCCCTGGGGACTGGGTGGCATTATTTGCTGGTGGACCCTGGCAGGCACTGTTTCCCTCGGCATTCTGCTGATCTTCAGGGATTCCGTTGGTAATTGCTCTGACCTCAGGCACGAGAGCCCAGCTGGGAAGGCCGGTGGGGCAGTTTGAAAGGCAAGGCACAGGGAGGGGAGAGAGGGAGAGGACCGAGAGAGGGGGAGGGTGCTCCACCCATTCACAGCAAACAGAGCGGTGGTGGGTCCTGGGAGGCCATCGAGGGCCAAAGGTTGCCAGGGGAGCAAGGTGGAGTGAGGGGCTCAGAAGGGTGATACCAGGAGATGCATCCTCAGGAGGAATGGCCAGAATACAACTTAAAGGCTGTCCAGTTGGAGTAGATGGCAGTGGAGCCCACCCTGCAATGAGCCACGTGGTGGGCAGAGTGGGGACTCCAGGAGCCTCTTTCTGGAAAGCTGCCTGGTGAAGGAGGAAGGGGGGCAGGAGGGAGGGGTACAGATGGAGATGCAGGAGGGGGCAGGGAGGGGGCAGACCTAGGACCTTTGCTTTAGGGAGGGTACTTTTAGGACCTGCTCCTAGGTGAAGGCATAGAGCCAGCCTTGCAGGAGTAGTTGAAAACCCAGTGATGCCCCATCTGAGCCCAGAGGATACATCATCAGGGAAAACGATGGGTTGGGACCACGGGTTGGGACCCTTCCTGCTGTAGCTGGAAAGGAGACAGCTAACAGGGTGGGCTACCGGCTGTGGGCAAAGGCCCTTCGTGTGTGAGGAAGTCAGTTAACTCTTGGAGGCTGAGCAAGAGGTGGGGCCTGGGAGGTGGGGTCATGGG